TATATAACATGACCAGCTTTATCCTTTAAATGTTGTCTTTACTTATCTATCAGTAATGACAATCAAAATAATGACGCAAATCAAAACTTTGGTTGTTTCTGGTGCGATTTGAGCTTCAGTGGGTTTTCTTCGTGCCACCACCGTGTTAACACCTCAGCTACAGAGATGTTCACTACAAGCAAGACCCAGTTTTCTACATTAAAAAATAAATACAAATAAAAACATTTATCTTGGAATCAGGTGGCACCCCAATGGTCCATGTTTTCACAGGTTTATTGTGGAAAATAATAGTTCAGATTTATTCTAGACATTATCATTGTCAATCTTCTGCAAGTAATATTGATGGCTGTTTGTGTAGGGTTTAAATGTGAAGCTAGAAAATCAATGATAATCTAATCGCTTCAAGTGACAAATTTAAAAATTCTCCCCACCCCCCTCTGGGCCTTCATTCATTTAGTCACTGCCTTGTTTCTTTTTACCTTTTTACATCTCTCCGTTTTTCTTCCCCAGACACAATTCCTCTCAGTCTTTTCTCATTTCCCAGTCCACTGAGTTAAATATGGGCAAACCAAACCAATCAGGCCATGACATGGTTATTATTTTTAAGTACTGACTCTTTTATTCCCCCTCTCTCTGTCAGTACCATTTGTTCTCCCTCCACCTCTTTTTTCCTCTCTGTCTCAATTGGTATTCTGTCCATCTGCAGGAATTTTACCACCATATGATTTAAACCCACAAATTAAATTATTAACATTTGACCAGCTTCTCTGTGTGTGTGCAGGTTGATGTGTGGCCTGGTCTTGCTGATCTGTTTACACACTCACACTATGGGGACAAAAAGCAAGTTCCCCAAACATAAATCATTAAACCAAGTCATCACTGTAAAAATTAAGTGTTAGGTTAAGGGTTAGGTGTTGAAGTTGGTTGTGGTTAAGGTAAGTTCACGGGAAAAGAATGTGAATCAATTTAATATCCCCTGAAACACAACACACCCTACATGTATTTTGCAAATACATGTTCCAACTAAGCAAAGTTACCCACCTAGTCCAGGAAATGAAACACTAAAGACACTGAAACACAGTGAACTCTCCCTGGTGAGATGATCCAAAGTGAGCAGTGACTATAATATATCATTAGTGGGGGGGTCTGCAAGTTTTTGGACAAAATGATGTACGGGATACAAACAACATGAAGCACTGTGCTTCATTTTGCTGAAGCTGTGTGCAAATCTTATTCTATAATCTCAAGGAAGACTTGATCATTACACCTGCAATAACTGATATTTTCGACCACTTGGGGGCAGTAAAGTTGTAAACATATTACTAACATACGGTATCATTATCCTCTAAATAGATATGTCAGACTTGTCAGCAAACACTTTCCTTCCAGCAGTTACGGAGCAACACTAACATCACTTCTAGTGTCCATCAACTCCTGAGGGAAATATCTGGTTCAGTGTTTCACTACATTCACCAGAGCTGCTTACTGTGTCTGTCAGCAGTTTAGTGCACAGGAGATTTTTGGAGCATTTCCACTGAATCCAGCTGCCTGTTGCAGCAAAGGAACAGTTTTATGAGGATGGTAAGAGTTAACCAAACAGAGAAGTTTGTCAGGCAGCAAACAAGTAGCTGAACTTTGTATAAAGTGGTGTAAAGCCAGAGGGCACAGCAGAGTCAACAAGCAACCTTTAACACTGTTGCATCATTTTCATATCGTCATTTGATGCATTGATATTATGAAAACGTCGATATAGCCAGTTCAGCCTTTTGAATTATTACTTGGATTGGTTATATCTTGACAACTGACAACACCTGGTAAAATGACACTGGTCATAAGATAGATATTTAAGATGTTTGTGTCATTTTGATGTGTCCACCTGATTCTCTTTATGAAGAGTTTGAGCTTCTCTTCTCAGCACAGAGAGCTAGAGTACCAAGAAGGAAGTAACGGTGTCCTCATTAACTTAATCAATGAATGCTAAAGGGTGCCGTAGGGTGTACTGTATGTGTGTGTGTGTGTGTGTGTGTGTGAGAGAGAGAGAGAGAGAGAGAGAGAGAATTGTGTCTGTAGTGTATTAATTTACTATATTACCTCCAAAAGCACCACAGAAAAAACTTGTGGCCCGGCATGCAAGTGTTAAAAAACAGAAAGTTCATAGATTTATAGGGGAGACAGAGAAAGAGAATTCAGCAGAGGAAGTATAATTATGTGGAATGACCTGCTCTGTCTTTCTAGATATCAGCTTTTACCTCCTCCCTCAACCTTCATTGGTCTTCCACAATAAAAGACCTTAATAAGTCTCATCTCTTCCCTGTCCCACTTCATGTCTCCTTTGATTTGAGGCAAATGCATCTCTTCCACTCCCTTCATCATGCCTCCATCACTGGACTTTAACACAAAAATCTAAATGCCCCATGGCTAAAATCTGAGATCATGTGTGTGGGTTTGTGTGTATTTGCACGCAGTGGTGGACTTGATGAATCCTTGTGCTGAAAACATCTGCAAGTTTCCATGACAGACTGCATAACAGAGAGTGATGTGACGAAGGGGGGGTGTGAAAGCAGGCCACTAGACAGTGTGTTTTATCTCAAAAAATAGCAGTACAGGGTTCACCATGTCTGTGTGTGTGTGTGTGTGTGTGTGTGTGTGCGCGCAAGAGGGGCAGATGTCCACAGTCCCATGCCATAAGCGAGCTTGTGTGTGTGTGTGTGGCTGTCTGTCCATGTGTGTGAAGTGATGTGCAGCCAATCAACTCGATGTCCTTCCCTTCAGTGATTTCTCCAGCTAACAGCAAGTGACTGTAGAAAAGAAGAGTACAGACAAAACAGTACTGTAGTAATAAGAATTATGGACTTATATGTTTCTAGAAACAAAATATTAATTCCCCAGGGTATTTCTGTTTTTTATTTCCTGATGACTTGTTTCAGTTCAGACTAAAAGGAAACTAACTGACAGATTGCTCGTTGAGGCAGGCAGAGCAAATTTTGACAATACCAACATAAGAACTATCAGCAAAGCCAAAGAGAAATGTGACTACAGATTACAATACCGAGCTCTACTGTTGCTCGTCATCTAACAGCTGAATACAAATAATTTTTTTAAAAATGAAGGAAACAACAAACCTAGTTTCATATTTTCTCATGTTGTTTGTCACAGGCAGAAATACATTTGAGTTTGAGAATTTCAAAATAAATTTCACCTAACCAAAACTTTTTAAAAGGATAAATTCACAGTTTTTGAAGTCTGTCTTAAAACAATACACAATTCAAGTGTTCACTGTGTTTCTGTTGGCCATTAGCTGAGTTCCCCCTCCTTCTGTGCTTCCAGTGTAGTGATGGAGGACAACACCCACTGTTTATAAACTGTAGATTGTAGATCTATAGTATATAATTGTAGATTTTGTCCAACATCACTTAAATTACAGTAGACAGGCCAGGATCACTTGATAATGAACAGGAGGAATGATTACAGCAAGAAAATCCTGTTAGTTATTCAATGTTTATTCCCAGTAAGTTTTAAAAACTTACTGGGAATAAACATTTATCTATTCATCTAACATGAAAGTGAATAAATACTTTTGTACTTCTAATCGTGAATTATCTTTTTTTTTCTTCAAATTTCGGGACTTTTGGACTCAGGTTTTACATGACCATTCAATACAGAGACATTGTAAGTGATGTTATACAGGGCAGACGCACCATCTGGTGGCTGATATAATCTCACACACACCCACGTATTTTGTAGAGCCTTTGATTAGAATTATTTCAGTAATGTATTCATGTATAAACATATAACAAAATGGATATTTTATCAGATTTTTACTGTTAATAACATTTTACTGAAAAATGCTGCTGTTGGCTGATTGCTCTTATGTCATTGTGATTTCACCTCGTTCATTCACCGCAGATATGTGAGGAGATGACAGATACAACAGCAGAATCAAAACATGAATCTCAGGTAGACTCAGACTGAAATCATGCGTTGGTTCATGTCAGTTAAGTTTTTATTATTGTTTCTAAAACAAAACAAAAAATGTTATTAAGGAGAACAAATGCTGAACAGTAGAATTGGGTCTTTGTTTCATTGTTTTAGCTTCAATTCATACAGTTAAACAGGTTTATGTTTGTGCTCTTGATGTTGATGAGCACTTGACTATGTACTCTATAAAGTCGTGCTTTTATGCTGCCACCAACCCAGCATTTAAATCTTAACTTACAAACCTTTTCACTTCTGTCCCTGAGTTTTTATGGCTGGCATTTAGGCTGAGGAACTTCTACAAAGAAAAGTCCTAGGGGCATTTTTTGCCTTAAATTGCTGCCAGGTAACAAAAAAAAAAGTTGTCAGGTAAGTGGATCCCATTTCAAAAGGCCTCTATCTTACAAGGGAACATGGAGTGATCGCCAACTCAGAAATCACATGTTCATTTTTGAAATACTTTTAATACCATTTCATAACAGGCTATTGTGCCTCACAAAGAATCATCTGTGTGTCCCTCTCTGGGGTCTCAAGCAGATCCAGACATGGGGCCTTCCCTGAGCTGTATTCTCACCCATTCGCTGAGAATGTCTTTGGCAGTAAAGTGGTTGCTGTTGGCCCTGGATGTAAGATTTACCATGGTTCTTCCTTCTGTTCTTCTACACAAACTGCTCACTGGACCAGCGGTGGCACCAAGAGGTGTTTCTGAGGTGTTTGATTATTTTGTGTATGATTAGCCTTCAGATAAGACTGTTGGATTTATAGAAACTGAAAGGACTTATGTTGAGATAAAGGTCGATATTTCACATACATTTGAGTAAAATCGGCTGCACGTCGACTCCTTTCTGGTGTGTCTTTTCTGTTCTGTACAGGTGACAGTGGGATTAATAGACAGGTATGGGACAGCACGAGCCACGTCTCAGCCAATCACAATCCAGACTCCAGGTCCTTTGTAACTGTGGTGGTTTTATGCTGAGAACAGGTGTGAGCCGAGCTCTACACAGCTCATTGTGTGTGTAGAAGCACCTTGGCACCATATCAGCATTCTGCACTGTTTCTTCCCCATTTTAATCACCCATTTCTTAGTATATTTGAATTGAGGTTTTAAACTAAGTTTTAAGATGTTTTCCTCCCCATTGCTTATTCTCTCCCTCTTGGCTGTTTGGGGTTTGTTCGGTTCTGTTTCGGGTTCACCCGCCTTGGAGGAAGCGTACAGGGATGTGGTCAGCGTGGTGTCTCCAGGACAGCGGGTTCTGACCGGGGACTCCCTCCGCTCCCTCTTTAATACACTGGAGAACCGTGTGCAGTGCGGCGAGGTGTCGTGTGAAAAGGTAAGTTGTATCTGACTAACTCGGGTGCTGCGGAGAGGTCGAGGTCCAAAAGCTATTAAATAGGGAACATTTCAAGTGCTTTTTAAATGTAATGCTCCTGTTTAAACTAACAAAATGCTCACAAGGTAACTTTATGCCATTAATTTTGCCCGTGCCTGCATGCACTTATGGGCTATAAGGATGAATCATTTTAAATTTAAAATTCAATATCCAAGTCTGTCTTTGCCATTCAGATTACACACCAGACAGGGACACATTTTAAATAGATATACTAAGTTATTAAAAATGGGGGAACTGAATAATTTAACAATATTAAAAGTTCACTACACTGTAACTTTTACTCTGCGTTAGACTCGCAATTTTAAAATCGTCAGATTTATGTTTGTCACAAGATTAAGTGTATATTTGTTTGTTATAGGCCAATAAGTTGTTTTTGCACAAGTACTTTCTTTGACGTGGCAATAACAGAAGCATTAAGGGCAATGTAATCTGCTGACGAGCGTTTGACAAAACGGGAATCTCAAAGCTTCTAATAACATTAAAAAAGAGCACACCTATGTTTTTTCCATGCGAGTGCTCATAGGAAATGCAGTTCACAATAGTAGTTCTCTTAAGTGTAAAATAACAAAATGACACATTCAGTACAAATAGATTTTATTTACTTATTGGCCGACTAAAATGATTACTCTATCACAGTTCTGATGTGACCTATATATAATGTATAGTCGTTGTAGCACTGGTCCTTGTGTTCATTTTATGAGGACCACCATTGGGTGTTTGCAGGCGGTCAGGCCAAAACCTCTTTATCAGTGCATGAGACTGAAGTCCTTGGGCTTGCATGTCAGCTGTAATCTGCGCGAATGGATAGTACATGACCGATGTCAAACAACTCAGGTGGATGGTTGTGAATATAATATAAAAATAAAGACATAAACATGACTGGATTATAATATGCTTAATATTGCTAGTAAAGAGCTGATAAGAAATGACCCAATCAGAGATTTTAGCAGTGAAAAAGACTTGTAGCATCAACTGATTATGGTAAGAAATGATATAACAGGTAATCCAAACTTGACAGAGGTTTAATAAAATAATAAACCTTCACAGTAAAAGTCTATAATGTTTGTACTGTTTGACCTTGTGAGCTCATGTTATGGTCACGGCCTTTTGTTCCTTCTTTTGACAGTTTAAAGGTCAGTTCACCCAAATGACAAATGGGAAAAAAAGTGTTTTCTCATTTACCTGTACTGATTTTAGCTACACAGATAGTTTTGGTTTCATGTACACTGTCATGATTCTGTCTCTTCTGCTTCTGGTATCATGCTTTTATTCTGGCATCACTTCCGGTCTAGAGTCCCACCTCAGCTACAGACGTTTTACTATAATCAGTAGTAATGATCTGCACCTGTTGACACCAGGAAGCTGCCAGATTGTGACCTGAGTATGGTTCATGTTTAATCGGACTTCTGCATTGAATACAGTTACTTGTGACCAGTAACCTCAGTAAAGAGACAGTGTTCTGCTCAACCTCATCTCGCCAACTCTGACAGTACCCATATTGTTATCAGCCTTTTCTCCACCACAGTGGAGGTGAATAAGATTTAATGTGAGGACAGGTTAAATAATACCCAAGTAATCTATATGGCCATCTATAAGATGTGTTTCTTAAAGTAAACCATACCTTTAATACAATCCTGTCCTTCTCTACACATAGGCTATATGTTTTTGGATATACTTTACTTCCATCTCCAGTGTAGCCTATACTTTCCTACTTGTTAACTGAAAAATTGCCTCTACTGCAAGGTAATAAAAGGGTTAGTCTCCATGATTATACTATAGATTGCTCTTAATTATGTGTAAATTTCACAAATTTCTCTGTGTAGCACATACATGACCAACACAAATCATGAATTTTGATTTAATTCATCCCCATGTCTGTATGATTAGTGTATATACATTAATCATGCTTACAATTCTTTACAATTCATTTCATTACAATTCTGTTGCTCTGTAAAAACAACTTGAAATTACTGGATTAGTAACTACACTCTGTTACTTACCTTTACTGTATCTTCTGTATGTTTTTTTCCTTGTGTGAATGCTCAAAGTGTGTTCTAATAGATGCCGTTGACCAGCTGATCAGCAATAACTCCATCCACTCCAATCATGGAGAGCACGGAAGTGGGGGAAGCAGAGAAAATATAACTATTAGTGAATCTCAGTTCACTGATCTTGCTGCTGGCTGCATCCTCTACCTTTCTTCTCCTGACCTGGTCTGCACAGCCATCAGCCAGGGGCTGTGGAGGGAGGAGACCGAACACTACCTACACAAGATCACACAAGAGGACCACACCATGGATATTAATGGAATCCAGGCACGACTTCAAGAGCTTCATGGGCACTATAAGCCAGCATACAGTGAGGTAGGCTTTGTTCTAAAGCAAACAATGATTTGTTGGTTCGTCAAACCCAAAGAAATAACATGTTAATTTGTGGTCAGTGGGTTGCTATGTAGATGCACAGATATCAGTCTTTAAAAAAAAAAAACACAGTTGAAAATTGTGAATGCCAAATATTTCACCTTTTAGAAGTTGAAAATTGTGAATGCCAAATATTTTGTAGTCGATAATCGCTACAGTGACAGCTCTGTTGTAGTTGAGTGAATTATTAAAAGTCATTCATTCCTGTCCCTTATCACCAGAGCTGTTTAAGAGCCAGTGACATGATAAAGGTCAACGCATCAACAGAGGCTCAGAGACAGGAAGTGGGTGCCATCTTGGGCCTCATCCTGTATCATGCTCTGCAAGGTCACTGCTTCATCAGCCAGTCTCTGCCTGAGGAGAGCTTCTTCCTGGACTACATCATGGGCCACCTGGGGTCAGAGAACTCCACTGTCGGTGGTAAATGTCCCACACAAACAAAACATGGACACAGATACATGCATTAAAACCTAGATCCTGTGTTTACTGTATTGCTCATCACAGAAATCATTTAGTGTATTTACTGTATTTACATTAGTCATGTCATCAGTTCTGATAAGTCAGTTACTGTAAACCCACATGAAGGACTGTTTCTGTTTGGCCTCTGTAGGTTTGAAGACTCTTATGAAGAGTCTAAACATAAGCAATTACACGGAGATGGGCCATGAACATGGTGCAAAACACAAGAAGAGGAGCAGTCTTGGACATCAAAATGGAAGCACCACCTGGGATCAGGTAAATATACTGTATGCCGACATACAATACAGAAAATGACTTTTCACATTAGAATTTAGACATAGGACGAATAGTCCACAGCAACATATTACTGAGGTGCAGAACTCTAATGCTAACCATTTTCGCTTTTCCTCTCCTAGAGCTGTTTCTTGGCTGAAGAGCTGGTTCTGATCTACGGTCTGAGAGACAACAGTTCTGCCTCCTCTGGCCTGGCTCGATCTGATGTGGCTCGACTCAGCCCTGCCCTCGTCCAACAAGTCCTGAGCGGAGCCTGCATGACCACGACAGAACAACAGCAATCAGATGGACTCACCAAGGCTCAGAGTAAGTGTGTGTAACAGTGGAGTAACAATCACTGACACTGACCCTACCTTGACTATTGGAAATATTTCACATAAGAGTTGCAAATGCAGATGTTACAGTTGAATTACAACATTCAATTTGAAAAATTATTTTTATCCACAATTTCCTAAACCTTGAATTTTTGTGTACCTTTGAATAAAACTGGCCAGGTAACTCTTTCAATGATAAAAAAAAAAAAAATCGTGCCACTTTTTGGCATGGAAACAGAGGAAACAATTCAAGTGTTGGCATAGGTGTGCTTGAACGTGGTGGTAATTACAACTTCACCACTGAAATAACATTAATAATGTTAATGCAGGGTCATTATACACATACATATTATCTCCATGTCAAAGATGGACTGTGCCGTTCATGTTCTCAGGATATCTGGATGTCATATTTGCATCTTATTCAACATGATAACCCTCACACCCTTTCTCTGTTCTTCATCCTCCTTTAGGATACCTCTATGCAACCCTGGCCAGGGTGTTGATAATAATGACATCTATGTTTAGCATTGTGTTGTTGCTGTGTACCTCGTGTACCAGTGCATTCCAGTTGGTTATCCAGTTTTTCATCAGTCTGGCTGTAGGCTCACTGACAGGAGATGCCTCACTGCACCTGCTACCTATGGTGAGTGGTTTAAAGTTACGTGTCAGCTTGTATGTTGATTTGGGGGTATTGCAGTTATACCAGGTCACATACTAATTTTCCCATGAGTTTAACACTGATTGATTGACGTACTCATTTTGACTTCTCACAACGGTTTTGTGTCCAGTTTCTAGGTTTACACGCACATGGCGTCAGCAACCAGAACACAACTCCAGACCACGTTTACAAGATGTTAGTTCTGCTGGGAGGAATCTACCTCTTCTACCTGGTGGAAACAGGCTTCTATCTGATCACATTAAAATTTAATCATCACCATCAACATGATCACTCAGTAAGAAAAAAGACAAAAACAAAAAACACCAAACCACAGATAACATTGTCAGCATCTCACACGACACAATGCTGATAAAACACACTGCTTACATACTAGTCTTCCCTAAATAAGCACAATTTCTTATTGCGTTTAAAAAAGATCCAGCTAAATACAACTAACATGTTTTTGATGCTTTATAATTGATATTGGTCAAATTAGTTTGTTTTATATCATGCATTAATTGCATTAATTTCTCCTATTGTGTCGTTGAGTACTTGGCATGATTCACCTCAGTGGCGGGGGGGGGAACCACAGCAGCAACGTCCCCGACTGGGAGAGCACAGCGAAAGTTAGCTAAAGAAAGCATTGTGTATTATTTTTACACAAAATACTTAATAATGTATGATTTATTATTTCAAAGAACTCAGGATTTAATTTACTTTTTACATGTATTTCAAATTTGGTCCCCTCTCCTACTCTGTGCCCCAGCCTGGCCACCTCATCTGACAAGTCATTTTTCTTAAATCTGCTTACATAAAATTGTTGTCAAATGGTATTTTATTTGTAATGCATCTAGGTGAATATAATTCTAAACCTGTCCAATGTATTGCCTTGTTTTTTACTTCATAAAATGCTTCACTACTTATTTTACTTCTTTCAGGAACAACCGGATCCTCACCACTGTGACCCTGGGGCAGTTTTAGAGATGTATCAACAGGAAAAGCAGCAAAAAGACAAGTCACAGTTGACATCAAAAACAGACCTGGTGAGAGACATTTTGAAGTTTCAGGTGGAAACTGAACCTAAGGTTGCTGATCCACTCATTTAGGACAAATGAGGCTACCACTCTCATGGAACAGGAATTCCGCCTCTCACTATAATACAAATAATTAAGAGATTAGAGACCTGTCCGCTGTGTACTGAGAGATGTTGGCATCACATTACAGCTTCCTGGAATCCACTACATCTTTCCTGTTTAGCTGTTGCAAGTTGCCTCAGTGTGCATGAAAAAGCTTCAGCTAATAGATTGTAATAAATTAAAACCTGCAAAGCTGCATCCAAAGTCAAACACATTTTATGTCAATAATAGCACTTGTCTGAGTGTTTTGTGTACAGTAACATTTTCTGTAACATATTTTAGGCTGGAGCTGAAGACACTGATGAATCACTTCCAGAGCCAAAAGAGTGCACTGGAGGTAAGTAATGTTATTTTCAACACAAGAACATGCATGATGTCATTAAACTGTGTTATTTATTGTGGCTACTACCCCCCACTAACCAACTACATCCGTCTGGCTCTGCAGAACAGCATCTACTGCCTTACATGATACTTATCGGTGACGCAGTCCACAACTTTGCAGACGGCTTGGCAATTGGTGCAGCTTTCTCCCTGTCATGGAAATCTGGTTTGGCGACATCAGTGGCTGTGCTCTGCCATGAACTACCACATGAGCTGGGTAAAGGACACACATACTCAACAACAGGCAGGCATTTCATTTTTCATCAAAGAATTCTAAACATCATCCTCTTGGTTTTGTTTCTCTCCAGGTGATTTTGCCATTTTGCTCAACAGTGGCATGAGTGTCCGCAGGGCGTTGCTTTTAAGCTTTTGTAGTGCCATGACCTCGTTCATCAGCCTGTACATCACTCTGTCTGTAGCCACTGACCTCGCTGCCACGCACTGGGTAGCTGCGGTTACTGCTGGACTCTTTCTGTATGTGGGGCTGGCCGATATGGTGAGTGTTTGTGTTTAGAGACAATGAACCACTACAGAATCAGTCATGTATAAATGCATAGAAAGATGATCTTACTTCTTTTTCTCTTTCCAGATGCCCACCATGGTCCATATCAATAACAAGAGACCCTGGCTGATATTTCTGCTGCAGAACGTCGGGCTCTTGACCGGGTGGGCTATTATGCTGGTGTTGTCACTTTACGGAGAAAGGATCAGCTTTTAATGCATGGACTCTTGTGCTAACACAGTGGTCTGGTGGTGCAGATTGTAGAATCACTGACAATAACATGTATGCATGTTAAATGTAAACAACCGTGATGAGACTTCTTTGACAAAGTGAAAATGTTGAGGAATACAGACCACAGAAAGATGCTCCTGGTTCCTATTAACAAAAGGGCAAATAAACTGTCAAATGGGCCCAAATCCAGTCATAGACAGTCTTGAAAAGTGATTCCCACTTTCTGCCTGAAGCACCAAAACCACTTGACCACATGCGATTATTTCATGATGCTGTGAATGTTGTTAAATAATTTTATGCAGAAAAAGTGTACAGTGTACTGTAACTTATTCAGTATATTTTAATCAATACAGGGATTTGTCATTTTATTAAGTACACCTATGGTGTTGAGAAAATATTAAAGACACATTTCCACATAATGCAATCCAGTACAATTAACACCACAAACAGCTGAAAATAACTCTTCTCTGATAGTCTCATCAAAAACTGAACATTTATAAAAGGTAGAATTTATTAATAATCCTCTGTAGTGGACTGCACTGGCTGCAGCAAAGAGTACCTATTATCTATTCTATCATTTAAAATACTGTATATATTTCTACCACTGCTAATGTCCCTTCATCTACCATTAAACCACAGTTATTTCATGGCACTAGAAGTGACACTGAAAACTGTAGGAATGCTTCAATAAAAATGTTAAATTTGCCCAAGACAAAGAAAAACAGTCCATTATACAGATTAAACTAAAAATCCCACAGCACATGGAAGTAAAAGTATAGTTTAGTATTTCTGTGTTGCTTGAAAACAACTTTCAAAATATGTTTTGTAGCAAGACCTATTTTTCTTCTGTCTAAGCAGCAAGCACGTTTTTACTTTAGAATAATTGAGACCTAAACTGTCTCCATTCACACCCTTTCTTGTGTCTTGGATGAATATAAATGTGTGTTTCAAAGATGCTACGGTACACTCTCTTAACGTCTGAAATGCATGTTAAACATGGGCCCCTATGAAATACTGAATGAATGAGGGTGTTTGTGTTTTTCTCTCTTTCAACAGCCATGTATGTGATGTTAGGGTGATTTTTATTTTATACACTTAAGAATGGTTTTATTTTATAACACACATAAGTTTACATACTTATATGTCACATGCTTATATAGTTATGAATATCACTATATGTGTTCACTTAACCACTGGTCAAATATTTGCTGTGTGAGTTACTGAAACACTAATGCAACATCATAAGTCTGGTGCACTGAGTGGTTTTCCAAGGACTAATCATCCCACAGGTTTTCATTAGATTTGTTGCCTTTTCCTAAAAGAGCCCATTATTCCCTCTGCTCCTTGAAGCCAGGGGAGTTGAGGTTTGATAAGATACTAAGAAGCGTTGTGGGCTGTGCAAAGTGTCTGTTTCAGGACAAGGTCGCGCCAGTGACGAGATCAACGCCAGTGACGAGACCAGAATGGGGGACCAATGACGGGAGAGTTAAGTCTAAACCACAGCTTCTCCCCAACAGTTTTGGACCAATTAGATAGTAGCATTTTTTCATACAAATATTGTATACCAACCAGTTGAGGACAGTCTTTCCTGTTTAGTCTTT